CTCCGGTGCTGTACGGATTGCTTATCTTATGTATGTTTGAAAAAAGCGAAGATGTTCAATTTGTTGAATTCTTTTGATGCCTTCGTTTGTTCCTCTTTTGTTCTGCGGAAAAAGTTTACCTTATTTTCATCTTCTATTTAGGCTTGTGTACTGGTGTGCGATTGAGTGTCTTCAGAAAAAGTGTTGAGATACATGCAACGCGAAGTTTATTCTGCTGATGGCAGGATTGGAGAAGGTGAAGGTGCTTGTCATCGGAGATTCTGGTTCGTATATTTCTGAATTTGTGTTGGTTCGGAACCATAAATATGCGGCATTTTAATTACATCTTATTTATATCCTAGTTCTCCTCCAACTTTTCGAACATTGAGCCCAGTAATCTTCTGCACCGGATCGTTGATATTTCAGAGGAACGCTTCAAAGTTCCTAGCATGATTGCTGATGCTTGGATATTTTTGTGTATGATCGCGCCTCCTGTTAGTTCTCAAGTTTTGTTTTTTGACACTGGTGGGTGTGAAAAATCTTACAGGACTATGAGAATGACTTAGTGAGTTTTATAGTTTAGTCCAGATTTTTTTATGGTGACGCCTCATTACTCTTAATTTATTCAGATTGCTGAACGAGGCTTCTTCAAAAATTACGCTTCTATTTTTAATTTACCAAAGTTGGTTTCCCGTCTTCATATTTTAGTCAGACAACAAATTAAAGTATAACCTCGATAACTGGAACCTCCCCAAGTCGAATACCTCGCTAATTCGAATTTTTTGGAGGCCTTTGGGCTAATAATTTTTACACAAAAACGAGAAAAAGCGATAAAAATAACTTCATGTCTTTTGAAAGGAAGTAAAAGACTAATTGAGCGAATGAACCCTTGCCTTCAAGTTCAGCATCCTGTCAAACTCATTCAAGGAGCAATTCAAGACCTTGAATATCAGCTATCAAAATTTCCAGTAATCCTTCTTTTCTTTCCCAAACAAAAATGCTTGTTTCCCTAACTCGGAATTTTTTTGGTCCTTTTAAGTTTGACTTGACCGTGCTGATCGACTATAGTACACTAATGCGCCCCTTGAGCTTGAATTTTATTGAAGATTCTAATTTGCGTTTCTTCGTGCATTTGCCTGTAAGTCTAGTTATTTAAGTTCTTCTAACCTCGTATTTTTTTTTCTTGGTAACTCTGTGAGAATTGTAACGAGCTTGTACAGTAATGCAAGTTTCTTTTGCTCAAGCGAGTTTTAAATCTGACATGCTGTTGTGAAATTTGGTTGCTAAATGAAAAATTTATATATTTTTCTCCTTTCCAGGAGTAGGAAAGTCTTCCCTGTCGCATCTCATTTGTCACGGACAACCGATCACCAATCCTTCTTGGACCATCGGCGCCAGTCTTGACGTGAAAGTCCACGTTTTCCGGGATGGAACCCCGCTGCAAAAGAAGTATTTTGTTGAGCTGTGGGACGTCGGCGGTTGTAACGCTCACGCCAATGCCCGTTCTGTATTCTACCATAATGTGAATGGTAATACTTCGTTTGCCAAGAACACTAACGAAAATTTACGAAAGGTGCTTATTTTATTGGTTTTTTTGTCGATGTTCTGTTTAGGAATTATTCTAGTGCACGACCTGACCAACAAGAAATCTTGTTTTAATTTGCGAAATTGGTTGTCGGAGGTTTTGGTACACGTTCAAGGGGACGGAGGCTGTGGCCTGACTTCGCCGTTGTCTTTGACTGCGACTTCCGATGCGATGTCTAGTTGGTGGTCCAGAGACGGGTTCGACCCGGAAACATTTGCCGGATCGAGTCAGGTAAAGAAGGTAACTCCGTTTTTTGTGCACTAACAGCTTGAGCTTCATTCGGCTTTTGCTAGTTTCGTGTCTTGGCAAATTTGTCCATTTGGGATTTTTTGTTGTTGTCAAGATGCTTCATTGACTGGTGTGGAGATTTTTATTCTGCGCTTTGGCATGTTTGCGAGCTACCATGGGATTTGCGCGCCTCTGGATCCAAAAGAAGATTTTATATTTTGGGGAGTTGTAGGAAAAATAGGTCACGTCCTCATCCCTAAATTTGCAATTGTCTTCCACCAATTCTTAACAATAAGGATTGTCCTCGGGATCAATTCAGGGAGTTCTATTCACTTCTTCAATATTTTCCTACCTAATTTCGAAACAAATTTTATAACACAGACTATTTTCCGAACTCTCCAGAATATACACTTCTTTTCTGGGTCTTGTAGCGCGTGGATCTTATCTTATTTCTTGGTTTAATTTGAATCTTTCTCTCTTCCAGCTGCCAATGCTGATATTTGGCACGAAGCAAGACCTCACTACGGAAACCAGGTATAGGAAACGGTCACCGATGGCCGACGAATGTGGCGCTGATGAGATTTTTCTGGTGAGCAATTAATCTACTGAAGCAAAGTTTGGCTCTTGGATTCTATGTACTGTACTGTAGTCACGTAATATAATATTTCATAATTTTTTAAAATTAAACTTTTGATCTGGATTTCGGATGGTTTTGAAACCTTCAAAGGTGACCGAGAAGGTGTGATGCGAATTCTTTCGCGTTTGCAGGTGGTATTATTGCATGATATACTGTACATTGATGGTTTTTTAATTTTTCCTGACTGGCCTATACAAAGGTTAAAATATCCTGTCCTTGCTTTTCAGAACAATGAGCGATTGTTATTTTGATTCCTCTCTGTTTTCTTCCCGAGTGCACACCATTCTTTTCGGTACAGGGTTTTTGGTGTCTTCTGATTTTTAATTTTATTTTCAGTAATTCTTGAATGTATGGATGATCAAATGCTGCATATTATACGTCAAGTTTGAAAAAAATTGAAAAGGCTGGAAATGATATTATCCACTTCGAGGATTATGCAGGCAGACACATTTAGGCAGGAATTGCAACTCATCATCTCCAGACGATGTTTTTTTTTTTCGTGCAGTTGTCTGTTATTCGGAAGAGGTTCCGCTATCTGAAGTAAAATTTCGGTTACTGCTGTACTGTAATTCTTTTTTCCTCACTTGAACTCTTGCGATTCTGTAGATGAATCATAACCCAGAGGGAAACGAACTCACTTGGTGTTCCTGTAGTTGAAAATGAATGTCAAACTTTTGTTTCGCTATTTCTTTCAGAACTGCCTGGATCGAACTTGTATGCCTTCCGGTTCCAGCGCTGCGGTGAAGCTTTCGAAGTTCTTCGATAAGGTCATTGAGCGACGATATCACGCTGCCGGGAACTTGATGGCGGACCGTAGACGCAATCCTCATCATAATGCGCAATTCAGGACGTTTATTGTGGATCGATAATTGTAGAAGAGCAAAAATATGTTGATTGACGTGAAAAAAGTAAGAGAAGCGCGGATAGAGGAGTTCTGTTATTGTTCGTGTTAGTTCTTGCCACGTTGGACACGTTCCCTTAGTTTTTGGCGTAAGTTTGGGCCTGCATTTGGATTTCATGACGCATCGAATTTTGATGTATGCTGTGATATGTTCGATTGTAGAAAATATAGAATATTTTGTTTGGATTGTGACTAATGTCTCCATTTATTTTGCTATCTGTGAATTTACACTACGTGTAGGTGAGTGACGAAGAAAATTAAATTGCATTTCGCGAAGTTGTGTACTGTACAGAATTTCTGAAGATTCCTGCATTTCTCTACTTCGCGGGTACTCGACAGTACGAAAACGCAGTAGAGTACAGTACTGTACTGTGTTAGGTAGTGAATAGCTCTGTGTGTTTCTCGCTCCAAGCTCTTAGGTTCCTCGCTGGCGTTTTAAAGCTAGGAGCAATGTCAGCGGGCATGGCCATTACTTGCGGCAAGAGGTTTGTGTGTTGAATGCGGAAGTCGTGCAGTCCAGTCAAGAGACTTGTGGCTAAGAAATGTTCCAGTATTTGACTGTTGATTTAAGATTGGCAATCTTGAAAACGCCTTGTATGTGTTGAGTGGAGTTCATCGCTCGGCCCGATGAAATCCTCGGAAGGAAAATAAAATATTCAGTGTAAAATCCTGTGACAGCTATGACACGTCAGTGATCAGCATCTGTACTGAACCTCTACGCTGTAATCCGAGTATGACCTGTATGTTGCAGATATGTGATAGTGATATATTCGGTTTTATGATGAATCAGGGTAAAATTTGGTATTAGGAAGGAACTGTGCGTCTTCTCCGCGCCGCGCGGAGCGGTATACATTATTAGTAGCCTCCGTACGCGTGTGTTTGTGGCTTAACCATGGCTACTTATCAAGAATATATCGTGCAAAATGAAGAGCGTGACGGCGTTCGTCTTAGTTGGAATGTTTGGCCATCGAGTCGTCTGGAGGCGACGAGACTCGTTGTTCCGCTTGGTGTGTTGTACACACCGATGAAGGAACTTCCCGAACTGCCTCCGTTGATGTACGATCCGATTTTGTGCTCACGGAGCAACTGTAGAGCCATTCTGAATCCTTTTTGTCAAGTTGATTTCCGAGCAAGGATCTGGGTATGCAACTTCTGTTTTCAGCGGAATACGGTGAGTCCGGTTAGATCTTATTCTCCTTACTCAGAAGATCAAACAGACTTCCTGTTCGATTTTAGTTTCCTCCAAACTATGCTGGAATTTCCGAGCAAAATCAACCTCCTGAATTGATTCCCCAATTTTCCACGGCGGAGTACATCATAACGGTGAGTAAGATGTGTTCGCCATGACCACGCCCAATTATTGTCTTTTTTCAATGGTTTTCAGAGAGCTGCAGCGTTGCCGCCAATATTTTTGTTCGTTGTTGACACTTGCGTCGATGAAGAGGAATTGGCAGCGTTGAAAGAGTCCCTCCAAATGTCTCTCTCCCTCCTCCCACCCAATGCTCTTATTGGATTGATAACTTTTGGGAATATGGTTCAGGTAATTGTCGCTTTTTTTTTGCGTTGACGAAATATATTATTTAATCGATTGTACTTTTCAAAGGTGCACGAACTTGGCACGGACGGAGGACTGAGTAAAAGCTATGTATTCCGAGGAACGAAGGATTTAAATGCAAAGCAGATTCAAGACATGCTTGGAATCGGGAAAATGGCCCCTGCTGGACCAGGAATGCCAGCTCCTGGCCAACCAGGCATGATGCCACAGATGCCTGGCCCAGCCGGTGCAGCTCCACAAATGCCAGGAATGCCCCCGCAAATGGGACAGCCGCCGTTGCAGCGTCCGGGGATGCCCGCTCAAGGACCGCCAGTGCCGCCGGCGAACCGATTCTTGCAACCGGCGCAACGTTGTGATGCCGTGCTGACGGATTTGCTGGGAGAAATGCAGCGGGATCCTTGGCCTGTTCCCCAGGGGAAACGGTATTTGCGTTCGACTGGTGCAGCGCTTGCTATCGCTGTCGGATTGCTTGAGGTGAGACCTGAGGAATCTGGTGTTTTGTTAAGTAATGCCATGCGTGATGACCTCGTCGAGTGACGGATTTTTCGTGCGAAATGCCCGGATTTCGGACGATTTTTGCTTCAATATGAGGCCCTGATTTGTAAAATGAACTGCGCAGGAATTTATCGTCCTTCAAAGTTAAAAAAAAGTGATAATTTCTTAGAATGTGACTTTTAGCTTCATTTAAAAGTGGACCAACGCCTTCTTTTTAAGTTGATCAAGTTTAGCCATTACTTATTCGTTTCGTGAGTGTTTTGCTGTTTCGTTCAAATTTTCTATGTAAGACACGCAAGTTTTTCGAAATTTATTGAAGAATTCGGAAGCAAATTTCAAACGGAAGTGAAATGGAGTTGTTGGTTACGTAGCTTCTTTTTACTGAGTTTACAAGAAGGAATCAGTTTGTTATTTGTAACTGTCAATTCATCATTAGAAATAATTCTCGGATTATGGAATTCCCGCTTTGTCGTTGGATTGCATAAGTTTAGGCGATACCTTAGATGGTGGAATGAGAGCTCATGAGCGTTGCCTTTATTTCTGCGCGAATTGAACCGAAGTGCACTGTGCAGGAGGGACACTTCGAAATTACGATCAGATCATTCAGTCTATCATGGTTGCTCTAATCTCTAGTTAATTCGCGCAAAAGTTTTGCTTCTGTAATTATTTTTTCGTTCTGTGAATTTTTTAGTGAAATGTGGAAATTATTTAAGCTGCATCTTCATCAGTTTTCACAAACTTCGTACTCATTGCAAGAAAACGTTTCGGGGCAAAATTTATGCAAATTTTCTTATACTGTACATTTTAAAAAATGTGTTAGCTGAGAATTATGTCGTAATCATTCCTGTTTTCCTTCTTAGTGCACTTATCCTAACGCTGGTGGAAGAATCATGCTTTTCGTCGGAGGAGCTTGTTCTCAGGGCCCTGGAATGGTTGTAGACGATGACTTGCGGCATCCGATCCGTTCTCATCACGATATAGACAAGGACAATGCAAAGTTCATGAAAAAGGCCATCAAACATTACGAAGCTCTTGCCAATCGCGCTGCTCGCAATGGACACGTCATTGACGTTTATTCCTGCGCCTTAGATCAAACTGGGTTGCATGAAATGAAGTCGTGTGCGAATTTCACTGGGTAATGACTGCCACGAGAAATTTTCATTTCTATTTGTCATTCCATTTAGAATCTTGTCTGGTCTTTTTCTATTTCTGAAGACTGATGTTGAGGGTTTTGCGAGTCTAATACGGTGATATGTTTTACAGTGGACACATGGTCATGGGCGACTCATTCAATTCGTCATTATTCAAGCAGACATTCCGTTTGGTATTCGACAAAGATGCGAAGAACGAATTCAAAATGGGTTTCAATGCTCAGATGGAGGTCAAAACTTCGAGAGAATTAAAAGGTTTGTGTGCAAACTTTGAATTCATGAAATATCAGTCACAGTTTAATGGATTAAAATTATTCCTTTTTTGCGTTTTCAGTTAGCGGCACGATTGGTCCTTGTATATCCATGAACGTGAAAGGCTCTTGTGTATCAGACTCAGAAATTGGCGTTGGCGGTACGTGTCAATGGAAATTTTGTGGGTTGACCCCACGCACCACCGCTGCTGTGTTTTTCGAAGTTGTGAATCAGGTAGTTCTTCAATTTTCTCTCCGATCCTCTGGATAAATTTGTTACCGTTCATTAAGATGAGAACAGATAAACATGTCCTAAAATTTACGAATTTTCTAGCGCTCCAGAACCATGCATAGGAATATATTGTATCCTTGTTCACGGAGTATTTTTTGCTTGGCTTATGACATCGTGATCAACTTTTTATGTTTATTTTTCTTTTGGACTATTACATTGCTGGTGTTGACGCGATTTTTGTGGAGGTGTGTAGGGGTGCCCAAAATTACATCGCAAGAACATTCTATATTCTAAGTGTCATATTTTTTCTTCTGTATTTGGCGCATTATTTGTATAAAGAGTGTTTTCGACCCTTCGAATCAAGTCGAAAAAATTTGGGTTTGTTAAATTTATTTTAGAATAAAATTTGATTTATTTGATTAAACTTTCGAAGTGAAAAAGTTTCATTTCTGTGTTACCGTATGAATATCAGATGAAGAGGTCCGCGTTTAGTTCGAAGTCGAATCTACTGCAATGGCACTTGATATTTTATTTAATGAAAGCGTTTCTTGCGCTTCCCTGCGATTTTGGCTTCGTCGCAAGAATTCACGCTGGAATAATTCATGAAACTCGGATTGATTTTTCCTCTAGCATGGCGCTCCGATTCCTCAAGGCGGGCGTGGTTGCATCCAGTTCATCACTCAATATCAACACTCATCCGGGCAGAAACGTGTGCGCGTTACAACTTTAAATAGAAAGTAAGCTTATCATCTTTTCGTTTCATGAAAAAACGATACAAGCTTCTGGTTTTCGTTCTGTCTCGCAGTTGGGCTGATGCCAGCACGCAATTGACTCACATTTCCGCTGGGTTTGATCAAGAAGCTGCTGCTGTGTTGATGGGACGCTTTGCTGCGTTTAGAGCAGAAACTGACGATGGTCCAGATGTTCTACGTTGGGTTGATCGAATGCTGATCAGATTGGTGAGATATCGGAATTTATATTCGACTTGAGAATGTCAAATTTTCCTCTTGTGCAATTTTCCACACTTCATCGAGAATTTATTTTTTTGCTCCGGACTTTTTATCCATCGTGCCACTGCAGTACTTGAAGCACTTGCCCGGTTAGTTGTTGGGGTTTTTGTAAAAATTAGTCTTGGAACTCCTTTGTTGATGAAATAGGAAGTTGTTGATCAATTGATTGACTCTTCGCTTCCTTTATTCGTTGTGTCAAAATCGGGCGAGCTGAAAATATAAGGAAAATTTCTGGAAAGGATCCTATTATTGTAATCTTGTTAACTGTGCTAATTTGAAATTGAGTGATGATTGAGCAAGTGACTTTTTTTTACTGTACGCGGGAATCACGCGCATTTCTCAAGCGCGGACGACTCATTATTGAATTTCTGCTGTCATTTCCGCTCTTATAGTGCCAGAAGTTCGGCGAATACAATAAGGACGATCCGGCGAGTTTCCGACTGGCGGAAAACTTCTCACTTTACCCGCAGTTCATGTTCCACTTGCGAAGATCCCAGTTCCTACAGGTGTTCAACAACAGCCCGGACGAGACTTCCTTCTATCGCCACATGCTTGTGCGGGAAGACCTGATGCAAAGTCTGATCATGATACAGCCGGTGCTTTATTCGTACTCGTTCAACGGACCACCGGAGCCCGTGTTGTTGGACACATCTTCCATCCAGGCTGATCGAATCCTACTTATGGATACGTTCTTCCAAATTTTAATTTTCCACGGCGAGGTGAGTGCGTTTTTTTTTTTCATACCGTATTGACGCCAAAACAAGACCGGCATTGATCGTTATTTTTCCCCAAAGATGGGCAAGGCTTAATCCTGTGGAAAGAACGCGACAGTTTTGATAATGGTAGAAATTCATGTTGATGGTCACGAGAATAATAGATCAGTGCGAAAATTTAAAATATTTCGATGAAGAATTTGATTTGCTCTTGGCTTGGTTTAGGGAGAAGGTCTTTTCCCATCCCTAGCATTCCAGAAGAGTTATCAGGTTCACTCTTATAATGCAGCTTAAATTCAGAATATCACGTGAAAATAGGGGTAATGCGGATTTTCTTGGACATGTGCCCCGTGAATTCCTTGCAGCACTGTGTTTGACTATTTTTAAAATATTGGGCGTCTGACGTAATTCCAAATTTCAGACTATTGCCAGCTGGAAGTCGCAAGGTTACCAAGAAATGCCTGAGTACGAGAGTTTCAGGCAACTGCTACAAGCCCCGATTGATGATGCGGAGGAGATTCTAGCCACTAGGTTTCCCATTCCTCGCTACATTGTGACGGAACAGGGTGGATCTCAGGTGCTGTGAATATAAATTAATTATTATTTTTGTATTGTCAAAAACTAACAGTTTCTCAATTGCCACAGGCGCGTTTCTTGTTGTCGAAGGTGAACCCGTCGCAGACGCACAACACCATGTATGGCTACGGTCAGGTATGTACATATTTCTGCACATTTGTATGGATTTGTGAATTAATTTAGATGTTCACACTGACGTGACGAGGAACTTTTTTTGAGAAATTTGCTTCGAATACAGGTTGTATTCATTCGATTGCATACTACATTTTATTGGTCGTAGAGTTGGCGGGGAAGCGAACGAATCCTTCTGCCTTTTTCCCTATTTTAAGTAATTTTTTCTTGAAATAATTGCCCCGAATTTTCTCGTATTTATACAGTCTATATTTTAAAATATCATAACCTTGAATCGTTGGAAAAAATCAGCTCATAACCGAAGTACGAGTAGAAAAAATAAAAACTCATTCTGATCTATAAGTCAATTGCAAGAAAACGGCGCTTTTCATTTGTAAGTACAATAGTTTTATTTACCTTATTTATTCTCGAGGCGTTAAAACTACGAAAAACGTCCTATTTTCGACACTAGTGTGGTGTACTGTAGACAAATATTTATCTCATTTTTCAAAGCTTTTTATTCGATTTCATGCGCTCGTGTAGAGCGATAATTCTATTATGTTTTGTTCTCCCTATTAATTTATCTCATATTCTTAAGTTTTTCGGTTATCATAATTTATGTTGCCCAGAACTTCTATTCCGTCACAAAATACTTGAGTTGATATTCACTATGAAGCACAGTACATTATTCCATCCATAGGGATACACTTTGTTCGAGTTGGTTTCACTTGTCCATTGGTTTCATCTTACATTTATTTTGCATGAACTAGGTATGCATTTGTAATGAGCACAATGTTCCGTTCTGAAACGCCAATTCGAGGAAGCTTATAAGAGAGTCGTCCAATAACCTTCAAATATTATACAGTATTATACGGAAATTAAATCATTATCGAATTAATCATGGGGAGGAAAAATCAGGAATACGATCCATGTCACAGGCTTTCTTGTAAACTGCAAGCTTGTCTTAATCGTAGTAATTTTGATCAGTCTCGGTGCCAGTCGGTAATCGACGAGATTCACGCGTGTTGTCGGAAACACGGATACAAACCCTTGACTTGTGAAGGTTTTGTTCCACGAGATGCCGAAGACGAATTACCGGGCTTCGCCATCTTGTAGCACTTGTGGGTTCCTTTTCTCCAGGTCTCATTGTGAAATTATTCTAATCCCTGAGGAAGAATACGGGTTGATCCTCTGGGTACTAGACCAGAAAAAATGTAGACAGAGTTTGAAGTACAGTACTGCATTACATTTTAAAATTTTCGTTGAAAGACGGGAAAATGTGGTTTAATTAAATGTATCATTTTTGTAGATTATTGCAGTTACTTGAGAATTGTATTAAATGAACCCCATCGAGATTCGGCATGAATGAAAAAATTTATCTTCTTTCTTTTTCGTGTGCCAAAAATCTGTTGTCCGAATGATGCCAGGCTTTTTGCCCACTTTCTATTGTCGAATATTGTATTATGATTTTTCCTTTGTTTCAATATGTATTCTCATGCTCAAGTTTTTCGCGGTTTTTGACGAATTTATTGAATTCGTGTTTCGTTTACCAGGAGGGAGGATCGCCGGTGTTGACAGACGACGTGAGCTTGCAAGTCTTCATGGAGCACCTGAAAAAGCTAGCGGTTTCTTCGTCTTGAAGTGGGCCAAAACGAGAAAACGTTTTCATTGGAAAGTAAAGCCGTTGACGAAGGGATGGGAAGGATTTTCTCCTAGTCTCTGAAAAAGAAATCTTACGAAGTAATTTCATCATGGAGAAGAAAGTTTTTTTTCCTTATACGCGGTCATTTCTCGATATATTTTGAAAGTGCAGGCACGAGTCCGGTTGAACGAGGATGAGAAATTAAGCATCTGGCGATAGTTGAAGAATTGATTTATTTTTTTTGAATTCCAGGGATTTTGTTTTGGAGGGTTGATACATTTTTTTTTCTTCTGGCGGTCAGTCCATTCAACGCCGATTCTTCTTCTGTGGTACTTTTTATTTCTTTCTTCGGAAGTGTTTTATGCGTTTAAATTCATTCCGAGATTATTCTGCCTTGTATCCGCTCGCGGCTAGTGTTTATCGCCTACGGTTCTGTGGACGACTCCTGTGGATCGGCGTGGAAAGCCTTATTTAAGCCTGTTGCAAATGAAAATCTTTCTGGAAGTTTGGTGCTTTCATTGACGGAATTTTTCTTTCATTTTCATGATAATTTTCTGACTAAAATATTTCCACAGGAGTGTTGAAAAGGTTTGAAAGGCAAGCGCATGGATGAACCAGCATCTGATGTTCCCTTCAATGAAGAGGTACTTTCAGAGGTGAGAACTTGTTATAATGTCCGCGCTTAGATAATAATCTAGTTGTGATTTGTAGATCTAGAGAATTTGCATTACTTTTAGCTCTTACAATCGTGATATCTCTAGTTCGGAAAAAGTCATGACTGTACGGGCCAGAGGTACTGAGTGGATGCTTCCAGAAATCCAGACGCATTAATCTTTTTAGACTTATTGTATTAACTGTAATTTTACCACGCGTACCCATTTTTTGACATAAAATTTGCTAAAAACTTATCCCCTTGTATGATGTGCACGCGTTTTCCTGGTTTCCATTCTTTTCTATGAATAGTATTCAAATGGATGATGTGAATAATCATAACCTGAACCATTGTAACAGGAAAAGTACCGTTTATAATTTCCTCTTCGTAATTTTCTCCTACATCAAGGACACCCTCATGACCAGCACCACTAATACCCTGCTTTTGGTTTTTTCAAAAATTTCTACCTCATGCACTCACTTTTCTGTCTTATTTTTTGCAGAAAAATGGTGCGTGTGGTACTTGAGAAAATACTGTAAATTCAAATTACTGTATCTTGAGGAGGTTATGTCAGAATTTCAAGGGAGGAAGTCTGCTGCTGAAATTTCAGCCTATTCTCTGCANATTTCAAGGGAGGAAGTCTGCTGCTGAAATTTCAGCCTATTTTATCCTGCATGCGTGCACAATCTATAGTATAGGACCATGACGTGTTCCTGAATTTGAAAACTTTTCAATGATTAAAAATGGGCTGCTGACACACCTTAAATAAAGATGGTACTGTACGATACTGTAAAACCTTTCCAAGTTGTGCGCCTCCTCAATGAAAAAAAAACTCTGATTGGAATGTCCCGTAATTTCTTGAATCAAATGCAATTTTAAATTTCTGAAACTGTTCTGATCCAACCACTTGGTGAAAATTCCGAAGCCTTTTCGTTATTAAATTTGAGCTAAATTTCATAACACCTGTTCCATAAGATGAAATAAAATCAATTCAAATAATTTTCTGTATGATCTTCACGAGGAATAAGGCGTCTTTCTGCAGCAAGTACAGGACATTCATAAATAATGCACGGTTATACAATAATACATTACTATATGACCAGAAAACATATCCATTGATTAACCAGCCCAAATGTAGCCAAATTCCCTTACTCAAAAACTCTCCAAGGTAATTTTTTTTTCAGAGTACACTACTCTGTGCTTTTGAATTGAACTTGAAATGGTTCACCTGTACTGATCATGAAGCCTTCATTCCAAGTGAGCATTTCCCCTTTATGACAAGTGCTGATGAAGTCCTCCATAACACGCCATAAACACGTCGTACTTCGCCCTTTTGATGTGTGCTTCATCCTAATTCCTCTGAATACCGCATCGCCATTTCCATTTCCATTTGCTGACACAGACTGACGACATACTGTATATTGTATTTATAGAGAACCATGCAGTCATCTATTGACCAGCACTTTCGGTTTCTCGCCGGGATTCCTCACGTCACCGCAACAGATTCGTGGGGTCCAGCATCCCCGAGATTCCCGGCTCCGATCGCGATTGCCGGTCATTATCCCGCGCGTATATATGAAGAGTGAGAAGGGCGAAGAAGGCCCGAGGTTCAGAAGGTTGCCGGGTCAAAAGGTCGCAGCACAGGCGTGACGATCCGAGTACGCATGCGGCATGATGGGCGTGCGCAATACCGCGCTCGCGGGATGACCTGAGTCATCTCGCCTCTATAATGGCGATTGAACGTGAATGAAAGAAGAAGAAGACATGACGAGGAAAACTACCGGGATACGCACCAAGAACGAGAATAACGATGAGAAGGAGAACGGAAGACAGAAAGAGGAAAGAAAGTGAACGGACTTTTCGACACCTTTCACATCACATGCGTCACTTCGCGAGATCAGCATCAGAGGAGGTCCGATGACTAGAATCTAGCTAGTCATTCCAGTCAAGATTCTGGTTGGTCAACATCGAAATCACGTGCTGGGCATGCAATGGATGGAGAGGGCATCTCAAGAAAGTTACCGATCACAGCATGCGAAAAAATCGTAAGTACGTAACAATTTTCCCCCATTTCGTTTCGCAATAAGATATCGGTTCGAGGCATTCCTTTCAAACGAACTACCCGTTATTTGAAAACGTACTGAGCATGCTGCTTTTGAAGATTCAAGAGAAGGTTGATGGGGAAAAATCACAGCCCTTCCCTTCCGAAATCTGGACTAAAATTTGACGCATTTTATTGTCACCGATGTCGTAGCAGTCGTAGATTACGTATAGGTACCGAAGAGTAGAAGGCGATGAGCGAACGGAATTGCAGTTCACCCGCGTGCACCTAGATGTCGGTAGAAGGGCTCCATTTGGCCGAAAAATTTATTCTCAGTTTCTGCTCACTCTCAGCGTATGTACTGTACAGTATACAGTACTGTATATAACTACAACAACTTTTTGTCCTGGAAATTGTGATACAATTAATTCATTTACAGTATATGTATACCGTGGTTCCTTTTCGTTCGAATTTCGATTTTTAAAAGTCGAATTCTTAGCCTCTGGAAAACATTGGCGATGGACGCGGATCGTGCATGAATCTTTTTGCTCGGCCCCCTCTCATTTTTGACATGAAATTAAGAAAGTTTATTTCAAAATCACGGAAGACCTGTTTTGACCCCTTTCTAGTTCCAATGCGGTTTCACGCCCAACGAGAATTCGCGTTTTTCCCGCGCCGTTGTTAATTGACGCCTGGTTGCAATCAACGTCATCTAGGTGATGGATGAGGTTCTAGGCGGAATCAAGAATGGAACAAATTCGCTTTCGTCCCTCGTTTAGCAGGTCTTATTTTCTCACTAATCGAAAATCGGTGAAATCTTATTGCTGCAAGGAACTTCCAGGACCCTCAAAATTTTGATACAGTGTTGTATTATAAAAATTATAAAATTACCATTAGTGTTCTGTAATACTGTACAGTAATAGCGTTGTTTTTAAAATCAGTGGTCAACTTATTGAAAATCTCAGTTTTTGACAGTATCAGGGCAATACAAATAAAAATAGCGCATGTTTGCTGCAGAGTATTCAGCAACAAATTTTTCACATCAAAAGGAAAGGTTTCCTGGTGAAAACCCCACCAACAGTGGCAATTAGTCTAATTACTGAATCTATTTGATATTATGTAACTGCAGTGTAGGGGAACCTCTTGAAGGTTCCTTCACAGACCAGTGAAGGTCAATTATTCTTGTTAACCTCATGATCTTCTGGAGTGAGATGAGTTAGCTTACTCTGAATCCAAAAAGGAGTACAATAAACTTATAATCCACTTTACTGGTGGCAGCGGTTATATTTCCATTCTGTAATCAGTAAATACAGTAGAGTATTGCTTCAACATTGCTCCCTTGGAAGGCAGGACGCGCATTAATTGAGAAGCAAATTTTATAAATTCTGACAATTGTAAGAAAAACCAGTGAAAAATTGCAATGAATCTTGCAAATTTGTGACTTTTAGAGCATGATTTCTGTGATGGATCTGCTACTATACCCCTGAAAACTTTTATTATGCCGAATGGTTCATTATGGTGGGATTTCAAATGAATTGCAGTTGCAGCCACATTAAAAATCGCAGAAAAATGTCAGTTGGATTCTTTGTTGTAATTGATTGATCCGAAAGTTAACCTTATTTCTTCAAGGGCGAATTTCTCAACAATTTCTGCTTGAACCCTCGAAGAACTTGGCGCTGATTTTTCCCTGGCGCTCATTTGGGGTGGCTCTCATTTGAACAGTCACAAGTGTGCTATATATATGCGAATGGATTGAAACCAAAAAGCCTTCGGGTGCACTTCGTCTGCGTATCGTAGTGAACCGCCACCTCTTTTAGTCCCCAAAAACTCGTCCTTTACAGTTCGCACTTCTAAAGGGGAACGAAAGAAACACCCGCTTACTCATTTCCTTATTTAATAATGAGTATAATGCAGTGAAGCACAAATCTTATCCATATCCGCGCTTGAATGCATCCGGGGGGTTCTATAATTTCACCGCCCTTCCACTTGCCCCCCTCTGCTGCTCGCACCAGCACGTGAGCTGATAAAAAGCAGATCCCTTTGAAATAAATTTCCCCGGCACCGGTTTCATTCTGTCACTTTTGGGACATGCTTGACGTGTGTGATGAACAGATTGTTGACTGTATCCTGTGTAGTACAAGTACACGTACGATATTATGGTAAAATACTGGCATTTTTATGATGGTAGGAAAAATTAATCTGTTATTTGGGCGCCACTGACTCTAAAAAGTCAGGAGCCAGGACATGACATATTGTAGAGTAAAACGTCTTCATTATCCCGAGTTTGGGGGTTTATTCATTTGATTAAACATGTCCACCATATCGCATCCCAAAAATTAAATGTCAATGTTTTTTATGTCTGAGCTGTGGTTCCTTGGAATTTGTGAGAATGAGTTTGAAATATTTTCCTATGCACATTTTGTGATATTTTGGGTAATATTTTGAAATAATCAATTACTTTTGATCATTTGGACAAAGGCACTCATGCAAGCATTAGTCCAAAACTTTATATGATTTGGCTGTGCTGTTGTGATATCATCTTTGAAATTGAAATTATGGTAGGATTTTGCAGCTTTTTAACAGTAGGAGTTAATGAATACACTTAAAATGATGTTTTACCTTCAACGGTTCCTTTAAATTCATACGTGTTTACATCAGTGTCAAAAAAATTACAGACTAGACACCAAGGAACCTTAAACCGAGAATGAGTTTGAAATATTTTCCTATGCACATTTTGTGATATTTTGGGTAATATTTTGAAATAATCAATTACTTTTGATCATTTGGACAAATGCACTCATGCAAGCATTAGTCCAAAACTTCAT